AGGCATGTGTTAAACAGTTAATTTCCATAATACAACATTACCAGTGTCATCACATTTGTTTACAGTTATTTGGACACATTTTATTAAAAGGAAAATATAGCCTTATTTTTCTATGGCACCAGCTTATGGGAATAATTGTTTATAAAAATATCTTTAGAAAGGAAAAAAAAACTTTAAAAATGTTTAAAAAATATGTTTACAGTAAGGGCAAGATCTTCTACTAAATTATAGTGCCCCAGCCAGTAATTATTTTTAAAATGACAATATTCAAGCTTTAGAACAATGTCGGAAAATAAAAAAACAACTAATTACATGATTAAGCTTTATTTAGGGCTAGCCGGTTAGCTCCACTGTTTAAAGCACAGTGTTATAACACCAAGGTCAAGGGTTTAGATCCCTAGACTAGCCAGCTGCCAAAAAAAAAAAGAAAAAGCTTTATTTAAAAATAAAGCTTTCTGGTCATATAATTAAAAGGTCCTGAAAGAAGACGTAATTGAATAACAGTAGTGCTTGCTCTCTTCTTTTCCAGACCAAGAGCCAAAAAGAGGTATACAGTCTTGTAGAAAGTTTTTTGTATTCAGCCTTGGACTTACTACACTAACACTAGCATATGTTTTTCAAAAATGCTCAGCCCCCCCCCAAAGAAAAACCCTAATCTGTTATATAGTATAGCAGTTTGTTTCCAGTTTTCTATCCTAGCAGAAAGGCAGTCGACTGTCATGCCAGCAGCTTCCACTACACCTCCTGGGAATTACTGCAGCCTCTTGCTGGTGATGGAAACAAACATAGAAGACTCCATGGGTAGGCCAGAAGGCGAGATTTGCCCTTTAATACATTATGAACCAGNCCCCCCCCCCCCCCCCCAAAAAAAAAAAAAAACCCTAATCTGTTATATAGTATAGCAGTTTGTTTCCAGTTTTCTCCTATCCTAGCAGAAAGGCAGTCGACTGTCATGCCAGCCGCTTCCACTACACCTCCTGGGAATTACTGCAGCCTCTTGCTGGTGATGGAAACAAATATAGAAGACTCCATGGGTAGGCCAGAAGGCGAGATTTGCCCTTTAATACATTATGAACCAGNGAGTTGTAGATTTGAGTGACACTTAATGGTCCTTGTTTCCTAGATACAGAATGTAAGTTGAAATCAAACTCCTGAGTCTTTATCTTTCAGATGTTCTGGGACACACAGCCAAGTCTGTGCATTCCTGATAAAACATTATTTTTCTCCTCTGGGAGGCTTCCTGGGTGCCTGTATCCTTGCATGCCACTCTCACACTTAGAAAACTGCAGCTCAAGAAGATGCTTTGGGTGCCTCAGTTGCTGTAATCTGAGCCCAGCTGGCAACAGTCACCATCTTGGAGCTTGCTGTAGGTTTTCTCAGTGCCTAACTTTCCCTGGGAAAGGAACTTTTTGAATCCTTAAGGGACCCTATTCATGAGGACTTGAGAAGCTGATTAATAGAACAATGAGTGTTTTACGAAGAAACAGGTAAGTTTTGAAATTAGAGAAAGAAGAAAAGGTCGACTTGGAGAAAAAAAAGTCCAGTTTGGTTTTAGTGTAGTACAAACCCATTTGACCCTTTCACAGTACATAAAACACGTTTACTATTTAGTTCTTAAAACAGGAAAACATTGGTATTTATATTAACTTTAAGTAGTTATTTTGGGCCTTCAGCTCCTAAATATCTGCCTGAGTCAAACCATGGAGATATTCTTAGGGGTTTTTTTTTTGTTGTTATTGTTCATCTTTTCCTGAGCCAGCAGGAGGTTGTGGGAATATCACAGAGAGTAGATCTATTTTCCTAAAATTTTTAGTCAAAGAAACACACATCTGAACCAAAGCCACACCTTTGTGTGACTAATTAGTCACCCTTGTTGAATCAGCATAATCTTACCTAGTGTGTAGTCAGCCACAAATGAACCAGTCCCAGTTACAAACATGAGCTAAATACTTAGCTGTAGCAACTGCCAGAAAGAGAGCAATTCACCAAGAATGAAGATATAAGCTCTAACCTCGGTGCCACTTGCATTCAGGGCTGTCTTGATGAAGACAAGAAAATGCCAATTTACCCACATTTTTTTAAATCCTTCTATGTACAGTGGTATATATTAGAAAGGAAGTGTACTAATCTATTGATGCATAATAAATTACCTTTACTCTCAGTGGCTTAAAACAACAATAAACATTTATTGTTTCATAGTTTCTCTGGTTCTGGAATTCAGGCATGAGTAATTCTGAGTAGTTCTGGCTCCAGTCTCTCCTGAGGTTATAGACAAGATGTCAGCAAGAGGATTGGCCCATGGCTCACTTGGGAGAGTGTGGTGCTGATAACACCAAGGCCTTGGGTTCAGATCCCTATATGGGGATGGCTGGTTGGCTCACGTGGGAGAGCATGGGGCTGACAACACCAAGGCAAGAGTTAAGGTCCCCTTACCAGTCATCTTTTAAAAAAAAAAAATGTCAGCAAGAGCTGGGCTGCAGTTACCTGAAAGCTTGACTGGGGCTGGGAAGATCCACTTTTAGGTGCTTCCTTGCCATGTAGACCTCTTCATACTGCATAAGGGTCCTCACAACATGGGATTGGTTTCCCCAGAGTGAGTGGTCTAAGAGAGCAAACAGAAGCCATAATGTCTTTCATGAAATAGTCTCTGAAGTCACATTACATCACTTCCACCACATTCCGTTTATTAGAAGTGAGATACTAAGTCTGGCCCTCACTGAAGGGGAGAGGAATTAGGCTCTTCCTTTTGAGAAGAGGACTGTCAAAGGATTTGTAGACATGTTTTAAAACCACCAGAACTAGTTAGAAATTACATAGCTGAAGCCATGGGAGGAAGCAAAGCTAACTAGAATCTATGCATGACTATAGGAATCCTAATCTCAATACCTTTATTTATAAAGAGCAGGGTCAAAAGGAAAGCCACATTCCATGGAAGACAGAAGACATTAATAAAGAAAAAAGTGAAAATATTAGGATTATCTGAATGTGTGAGTTATAGTAATCAAACTATACTAATATTCATGTTGGAGGTAAATGAACTTAATTATGCTTCTAATTGTAGTTGTATTTTCTCATTTCTCTTCCTATCTGCTTCATGAGAGGCAAAA